AAGACTCAACCAGAATCAGCGTATGCGATGTGACATATCCTGCCATAAATCAAGAATATGTCAGAAGTGACGGGCGCATTGCTGTGGGACTGGGCCTCGGAATTGTACACCGACGCAAGGCTAACATGCGCAGCCGATTCATGACAATCAAGGACCGGTTAAATCCTAGTGAGCAGTGGAGTATAGTATCACATACCGTGCATAAACTGTCCTCTAAATTGCATAGGACAGACTGGACGCATACTTGATTCGTGCATACACGAACATAAGCTGGCTGTAGGACGGGATGACGCCTTGTCACAAGTTGCTGCCCACACCTACGAGACGGGAAACACGAGTTTAACTTCGCAGGCGCGAATATAATCGCCCACGACGGTAGCAAGACAGGCCGAGAATTTATTGAAGTCCAGGCTTTCGATGAGAACTCAGTCAATCGATTTATCGACCTGGCGTCGGCGTACAGAGCCCTGGGCAGGCATCTCTGGACTGACGTCCCTGGCGCTCGATTGGTTTTTGCCCACAATAGCTTTTCCTAGTTTTTTGTTGCCGCTTTTATCTCTGATGATGGACTCCAATAAGAATTCGAAAGCTCAGACAAATAAAAACCATAACCGACGTGCCTTCCTCATCAAGAATGGCTTATTGACAAAGCCAGGGACACCGACAGGATCATGTCTAGTTAACTTATCGACTAAAAGGATAATCGTGCGAATGGGCACGGACACCAAAAGGAAAAGGGAGCAACAAGGGACGGGTATCGAAAAATGACGCGCAGATATAAGCGAAAAAAGGATACAGGTTTCTCCAGATTATCCACCCTCCAAAGGGCGATTTGGTGCTAAAAATTGGAACAAATTATTGAGAACAGAACCAATGATTTTAGAGCAAAACAAACAAAATGACTAGATTAGTGTACATAATATTACTGATAAGCTTCAAACGGGCCGTATGTAAAAAACGTGTCATATGGTCCAAAATCTAGCATTAGGATGGTTCCCTCGCGAAACACTGCATTAAAACGATCGTAACAGTTCGATTGTGCTTGATTACAGAATATTAAGGAGAGCTGTCTTTAGCTTAATTATCACTGCATATACTACGTTAAGCAAAATGCGTACCTTCAACACAAAGAGTAACTCTAACGGCCACATAGGGTCGCTTGAACAATTTTCTCAATATAGAAGAGTCTACGTTGACTGTGTAAAGCAATCGAGTTTCACAGCGTAGTGGCCAGTCAAAGGACGAATTTCACACAGAAGAAAAAATGTCAAGTCCTTTTTAAAGGCTAACCTAGACTAACCTGAAAAAATGAAGCGATTCGAGAAGTAAAGAGGGGATCCACGGTAAGGCCATTGACCAGACGAGTTTGCGTAATCTGACACACCCTGCTGGGATCTGGTTTTAAAACAGTTAGACAATAGGCAGTTTAAGTTTGAAAAAAGGCAATCATGTTCACAAGCAAAATAATTATGTTACATCATTGACTAATATCGAGTAGTTTGCTGTCTGAACA